CAGGCATCCTACATATACAGTGGAGGAAGACACGGATGTTAGCAGTACGGATGTTAGCTCAGGGCCAATCTTCTTCAGCAAAAAGAAGAGGATTGGTAGCGGACGTTAGCTCAGGGCTAATCTTCCTCAAATGAACGAATGAATGAATGGCAGATTCAGTAGGAGATAGGATGACATGTTTGTTTTCCATGATAGGGAGAGCTTCATATAGGTAGAGGGATGGAGATCAGAGAGAGATCATTGAGATATGAAGACCCAGAGGAGGCAAAAGAGAAAGGGCCAGATCAAGGACACAAGCAGATGGCACATGGCAAAAACAGAGAAGAAACCTCCTCTTTGGAGACAGGCTGGAGAGGATGGGTGCTCATGTGTGGATAAAGTGGCTCTGATATGGGCAAGAGGAACAATAAGGAAGCTATAGGTGGCCTATACCGTGAACTAGTAGGTTCCTAGTTAACTTTTCATTTGGGATATGACTTTATGTGCTAATGTTGCAGATATCAAGACACATCCCGTAGAGAGCGTTCTTTCTCTTTGATTTTCATTTAGACTTTTAGGACCTTAGAGAGCTCGTGCCAATCTTTTTTTTTTTTTCTTCCTGCTTTATCTCCCCAAATCCCCCCATACATAGTTGTATATCTTAGTTGCAGGTCCCTCTGGTTGTGGCATGTGGGACACCGCCTCAACATGGCCTGACAGGTGGTGCCATGTCCGCACCCAGGATCCAAACTGGGGAAACCCTGGGCCGCTGCAGTGGAGCGCGCGAACTTAACCACTTGGCCACGGGGCCGGCCCCTTCATTATTTTTTATAATTCCATCTCTACTAAATGACCACAGTGTAGTACACCAATTCTGTTTTTAAAAGAAAAGAACTCTTCTACATCCTCTGGTCTCATAGTCTGAAAGAGATGTTGGCTGACAGCCATATTCTGGACCCGTCTCAGCTCCAGAAAAGACTCCTTTGAACTCTCTCGAGGCTGCCACACCACTGTCACCTTTAGCCTCCAACACAGCATGTAACCTCCACTTGACTCATTCTGTTTAAGTGAAAATTTCAAATCAATCGAGAAGCATTGTTGCTTGTCATTTGTGAATCCACTCCATTAAGTGAAATTTTGATGAAAAAAGTTCTTTACCTAGTTAATATTTTTAACCAGAATTGCGAATAGTGATGAACTCCACTAGATTGTTGGTAAAAAAGAAAAAGAAAATCAGCTTGCTGTGAATCTTACTATATTCCATGAGTAAGGAAAATCTCTCAAATCAGCATTTGTAGATGAGAATCATACTCAGGATTGGAAGGGCCCCTTAAAGTCATCTGGCCTAACCCCTTTTCAAAGGTGTTCATCTCTTATACTCCTGTCAAGTGGCAGTTCAGCCTAAACCCAAATAGCCCCTATTGGTGAGAATTCACCCCCAAGGTTATTATTAGAAAACTCTGTAAAAAAGTTTTTCCAAAGAATTGATGGAAAGCTTTTGCCTGTTGGCTTCTGCCCTCTGGTCTAGTTCTGTGCTCCCACAGGGCCACACAGAGCAAGTCCAAGGTGTCTTTAAGGTGTCAGTTCTCCAGAGGCTAAAGATAGAAATCAAGAATATCTTTCTGATATCTATAATTTGCCAACTTGGCAAATAGCCTTAAAAATTATTTTGGGGAAGTTGATGCACTTGCAAATTTAATCTCTAGATAGTAACAGAACATCTATTGCTGGGGTGATAAAAACTTTCAAGCTTCATCCACTGCCATAGAAAATTCTTACCTATGTGCCATAAAGTTTAAAATAAACTAAGTTTGCAAACACATCATGCTAAATACATCAAATTATTTAAATTTTTTATTATGACAATTGACATATATTAAGTGAAAGAAATGACAGAAGTATTGTAATAAAACATTTTGAAAGAAAAAGTTACACAATTAGGCCAACAGCTATAAAATAGCTTTAGGCCTGGCTTATAACACCAAGAGTGCTGATCAGACTGTAGTGAGACATTGAACATTTCATTAACAAAAATATTGGCACCAGCCACAACATATTTTGGTTGTCACTTACAAGGAATATTATATTTAAACAACTATGCATTGCAATTCTAACACACTAGGTGTTCATACACTGCAGTTAATCCCCGAAGCTTTAAGCTACCAGGAATTCCCATATATTCTGTGCACAAAATTTACTTTGTGCATATCAGAATCACATTTCCAGTTTTCAAGTCTCCCCCCTCCCCCGCACCCATGACATGCAGTATGTTATATGTGGCAGAGAGCACTCCAGCTTCCCCTATTTGACTAACAGCATGTTCCTGATTACCTTAACAGCTTTATGCTAATCTCAGAGCTTCTGCTTTAGCTCTCATCTCCTAGAAATAAAATAAAGCATTCTGAGAATCTATTCCAGGAATAATTTTTTTTTATGCATAGGAAAATAAAGCATTTCATATAAGCACGTCTGAAAATCCAAGAGGCATTCTGATCAAACACTCCCTGTATCCCAGCTACTATTACTTTAAAATCAAAATGAAAATCTAATATATACCATTTATAAATTCTTATCTGGAATTTGTATTCTCCACCTGGAAATTCATGATTCTCAGGCTTCACCTCTAAACCAATGAGGATAGCAAAGAAACTGACATCTCACATTAGCTGACAATAGATAAAGGTAGCTTAGATAGAAATTATGACACAGTTAGATGAATTTAATTCTTTACAAGAATACACTTATGCTACAAAGGTGAGAAATTAGGATGGTAAAATTATCAGACGGCAAAAAGTACTGGTATTTAAGCAAAGGCGTCTTAGTATAACATGGTAAAATCTGCCATGTAGAAGACTGCTAGAATTGGCAGCTCTACAAGACTTCAATATACTTTTTATCAAATAAGGATGGTATTGGAATTGGAATTGGAATCTGATATCTCTTCCTGCCATGCTTCCAGTGACAAATATTCCTGTGGAATTAAGTCTACAGTATAACAAGAACCAAGTCAAGCAATTTAAGTTTTTCCTCCTTTTACAGATTGAAAAGAAACCAAGGCCTGCCCCATCCCATCCCCCCATCCCAGCACAGGACACTTCCTTTCGAGGTGTCTACAAAACCTCCTGGCAGGTTTGGGCAAGCTACAATTCAGATACCATTATCAAGAAGCTACTTTGATAAGAGGACAAAACACCAGACCAACATTGAGAATACCCCAGTTAGGCATCACAAAAATCACGCACTGTAAGAATATGCTGTTAACTGCCAGATTTGGGCTATTATCGCTGTTCTGAAGTTGAAAACCCATTTCCACTAACATAAACTAGATCTGTGTGTATATGTACTGTGTACGTATGTGTGTGTACGTGTACGTGTGTGTAAAATTTTCATGCAATGATCTTAAAGCTTTGGAGACAAGGGTTTTAGCCTAATTTAAAGGCTTGTCCATATAGCAGTATTCACATGCACCAACTCTGCTAAACGGCAGGAGAATGAAAAAGACCATGGCACAAATTTTTTAACAATTTTAGGTTTAATTACGTAATGCACCTGTAGATGTTCTAGCATAAACACAATTGTAAAAATCTAACATCCTATTTTAGGGTATTTTTCCACCTCCCATCCCTTAAAAGCTGTACAGTTATAAAAAATGTGACTCTCAAGCAAAATAAACTTTTTTTTTTTTTGCAACATACAAAATAAGTTAAACGATTCAGAAGGTCTTGAGCCATTAAGTTTCCCAATGACTGTGTTCTGGCCGTCCATGTGCATGACATGCAGCCCCTGGCTATGACCAGAACTCAATCAATACAGGTCAAACAAAACCCCAAACACTTAGCTTAGATTTCTTTAGAAACTGATGAAAGTCAAGAAAATATATAGTTAGGGTTAACAACTCCATTCTTAACTTACATCATCCAGTGGCAAAATGAACAAGGCAGGTCACTCAGTCCTTAGTGCATTTTCTAGCTTGTACCGGTTTGGCAAAAAACACAAATGTAGTTCCTTTAAAAATGTTTTTCTCGTTTAAAATGTCTAAGGAGCTTAATTAATACATTTCTACTTGTCTGATAATTTGTTATGCCCTCTCATATAACTTATGCATAGGATAGACATATCTTAAAGTTATTAAAATAAGACTAACATCTTCATTAACCGAAATCACTATAATGTGCCAGAATTGGATTTGCAGCATTTCCCAGAGTGAAATGGTATAAATATAAAATAAAATTAAAAAATTGAGCTTCCATAACCAAAATGAGGAAGAAAATCCATTAATGGAATTTCTGAGAGGGTTTATATGAATAAAACACGTGTTGAGTGTACAATATGAAGTGGTTATATACCAAGTACACTACGTTTCGGTTTGAAATGACTGCTTGCTTGCTGGGGAAAGAGTCTCTCTTCAATAAATGTCACATAGTTACTTAGCAATTCTTGGCACTGAAAAAATGTTAAATGAAATTTAAACTGGAGTGAAATATTTTGAAAACAATTATTAAGTGTACACATAACACAAGAACCCAGTTTAAATACACTGACAGCACAGGGCCTTGTCTTTCAAGATTGGTATAAAAATAATGAAGAAAATCAGCAGTCAGCTTGCCACTTCCAAGGTAGGTTTACAGGTACAGGGAATGGTGGATAAAGTAGGAATGGATTTTATTCTAAGAAAGTTTAGTAACAGATATGAAGCAGAGGACTAGGCAGATTACAGCAGATAATGCAGTCTTGGCAATTCTCTCTTCTTGGAGAACCAGTAATATATTTTTAGAATGTCAAATCAAGAAGAGGAACTTCACTCTCTCTCTCTGGACTTTCTGTAATTAAACAATGTTCATAATTTCTTATCAGTTACAATTTTTTACCCTTTCTTTTTATAATGTCAATTAATGATTTCAAAGGATTCATTTATTTCTTCTAGCATCTAAAGTATGTATATACATATTAACTTATATATATATATATATACACACACACATACCTTTATGTGTTCATTCCATTTAAAAAAAAGACCTGGGTCTTTGAATACTTGTTCTATAGCTGTGAGGCAACGCCATGAATCATGGACTTGTTCCACTATGTTCGTGAAGGGCAGAGTTCACAACTTTTTCTGAATACTAAACGTGTAGATTCATTAGGTTCCTTTCAGTTATATGGTAGAACAAACTGACACATGGTTTACACCTCTTATTCCCACAAACATAAGCTAAAAAAGGCATTCCTTGTGACAAAGGAAATTCCATCAATCCCACTTAAAAACAGCTAACATTTCCCATCACTTCAACTCAAATGATAAGTAAACGTCTAAATTTTTCTTAATATATGTTACTTTGCTCAAATACATATTATAGGATGGGTTCTATCAACCAAATTGAAAACTGAAGTTTGTAATGTCCTTCTAAAATTAATTTGTTTAAAAATCTTTTTTTCCAACAACTTCTTCAGCATTTGAAGTCCTTGGTTCTTTGGCAGGTCACATTTTAAAAAAAGATTATGAGTAGACATGAATTTATTCTAAATGAAACTCCTCTTTATTCTCTGAGTTTGCAACCTTGACCAACTGGAAAAGGATGTGTCAAGGAAACTCAATGTCAATATATTAGGTATATTCTTGAAAATCTCTCCACCATCATTCTCTAGTAATGTGCCAACAATGGAAAATGTTTTACATTAAACACTATGTCATCAGCGCAAGTCTACAAAACCAAAACATCTATTTTCAGTCTGAGTTCTTTTCACATATTTTAATTCAAAGCTTCTGCTTTATGAAAATTTGACTACTTTTCAAAGCTTTACAGAAATTGCAAACTAAATATTCTGAGTACTAAACTACATCTCCCCTTAATATGTTTGCTAGACTGCAGAGTCTGATAACAGGAGTCCAACTTGTATTTCAAAAAAGGGGTTTAAAGTATTAAAGGGCTTTATTATATAGCAGCTGTCGTGAACTTAAATCCATGGTTAAAACTCTAATAAGGACCCAAGATGTTCTAAACTCTAGATGAATGCTGCTTTCCTATACTCTGTCCATTTCCTAATGTCTTAATTATCTCTTTGGACACAGAACGTTTACTTCTTCCTAAATTTCCTGTATTTTTTTTTAACTTCTTCAAAGCATGTTCAGAGTTAACATTTCAGTGAATACAGACTCATTGAGGGATTGAATCTAAACACCAAGCAGCAGAATCTTCTTTGCACTGTTCAACATTTAATCACCCATAATTAATCTGCGTGACAATAATTTGTAAGTATCAGCTGCTAGGACTGCGCTCTTTCTAGATGAAACATAATTAATTGGTTTAATCAGAATGTAAGGTTAGAAGGGATACACTCACTTTAAAGTTCACAAACACTTAATTCAAGTTTGGTAAATAACAGGCAGCAAAAGTGGTATCAAAGCCCACGTTAGTGGGAGGTTTGCTAAATGGAATACTCAGGCTTTGCTAGGGAAAAGATTACCTTTGCTCTCTGTGGCAGAAGGGTAAAAAAAACTCCTTATTTCACATTAGGCATCGTAAAATAAATACCCATTTAATACTTCTTATCACTTGCTTAACTGAAGAGCAGAACTAACAGGTGGAAGCAGGAGCCGGTGTGTCGAGAGGTAGAGACAGGGTACATGGGAGTTTCTACCCGGTAGTGGCTTTATCCAGCTGCAGGACTAAAATGGTAGAGGGAGATTGGGGGCAGGAGAGGCCAACTGCACATTCTAACCACTTACCTTGCACTAGTAGGAATCCTTCTATTACCTGTTTTAGATAGTTAAAAAGGCTAACATTCTTAACTGACTTTCAATAAATGGAACAAACCTAGCTAGAAAGGAGGCTTGGTAAGTGAATGTGGCTCCTTACACAGCCCTGCTCTACTGTCTGTGAATGTAAGCCCTTCCCTCCCTTCCAGTGGAGCATTGTCTCCAAATAAAAATCACAACTTGCTTGGAACCACATGCTATTGGTGCATCCTAGTTTTAGGCTGCTTTCATTATTTTATTTTTTATACAGATACATATACATTGCTAGAACCAAAGCAAAAATATTAATGCGCAGGTACTACAGAACTAAAGTGAACAAAACAAAAGAACCAACAACGGAAAACAACAGCTATAAACTTTCAAGGCCAAAAGATAAGATTTAAGGGCAACACCCATTGAGGAAGGAAAAGAAGGAGTATAAAGTTTCTAGAGAGGTATTTATAATGCAAGTCTAATGCCAGCTTTTTAATAATAAAAAAGAGAAGTGCTTTCCTATACACTGACTAGCATATATAATGCTTAATTTGGAAAGAAAAATTAATGAAGTTCCTTGGGCCAGCAGCAGATATGGTGTGTCCATTGCCGGCAACAGACACAACACTGGAACAGAAAAACCCGAATCCCAGGGCAAAAGTATTCACAGAAGTAATGGCTGAAGGTTTCAGAATTTGACAGGCAACGTTTAATCACAAGTGCTACACTTTGTACAATGTTATTTATGGCTCTGCCTGAAATTTTACAGCTGTAACAGAAACTAAGTAAGATAAAGTTCATATTTTAGTGTCAATTACATGTTAGATATTTAGTTAGTTACAAACCCCTTTTCTTGAAACAAAGGGTCTCTTTCTTTAAAGTGTTGAGATGTTTGAAATGGATGTCATGCCTATTAAGCACACTGGCGGATCTCAATCAACTCTTTGTTGGTTGTGTGACTATTAATGAATTTTAATAGAAGTCTAATGGCCAAAGGCCAAAACTACATTCAAACCCTGCTAATATATCCAGGCAGATAGGAAATTCCAACACACACACATACACACACATATACACACACACACATGCTAAAACTCAACTAAAAACCTCCCAAAGGAACTGCTTTGTTTGTAGACTTCAATTTGAAGTAGATACTAAGGGCAAGAATAGACCAGTTAAAATTCACCTGAAAATCCTTTCCCCTTCTTCAAATGTGCTAAAATACCACTGTCAGCTTAGCATCTCTTCATGTAAGTTATGTATAGATGTACTTCTTTCAAAATGATATTTCAGATATTTAAATATTAAGTGGCCAGAAGACAAGTTACACAATCTGCAAAGTTTACAGTCCACCTGGGCCTTAAGAAAGACCACGCTCATGTCCCTAATAACTCTCCATGATGGTGTGTCAGAGGCCACCTCATCACCACTGCATAAAGCTGTTTGAAAAAACTTGTTGCTAGCACAATCTGGTTGTCAAAGCTTCACTATACATTTTACTGTACAAATGCTTTTCAGATGATTTTTTTTTTTTTAAACAAGAAACTCCGCTATAACAGAAACTTAAGTTAGAGTTTTTTATGATGGTACTTTCTCGGTCTCTTCTTTATTAAGTGTGGTAATCTCCAATAGTAAACAAGTTGATTTCATGAAAGCTGTTACTAAATGACTTAGGTATGATGTTATCTACAGTTCTCAAACAGTAACAATACAGACTTGAACTTTTAAACAGTCTGTTAATCATCATCTATGCCATGAATGTTTAAATATAATATATATTTAATATGAAAAAGCTAAAGCACAAGTGCTTTCTCCCACCCCTAATTCTGTTTTGGGCCCTCAGAGTCGGAATGCATTCTTATCCACCCTTTTTCACAAAGTCAGGAGAGCTCAGGAAATATAAAGTCAAAAATATACAAATCTTTGTTGTTATTATAATAAGATTTTTTTTCCATGAATGAAATTACCAAGGACCATGAACTTGGAAAAAAAAATCAAAAGGAATTTACAGCAATTATTTATCTTCAAAGTTCAAAACTGGTCACTTCACAGAAAGACTTCAGGGTTTGTTGAAATTTTTCTTCTAAAAAGTCATTCTGTAGTGGAGTTTTCTAGGAAAAATAAAACAGCTTTTAATAACTGGCCCGCTGGTGTGAGAGCTACCGTGGAATAAATTAGCACAAAAATGGAAAAAAAGTCTTATAACTGTTCACTGTTACAGACATAATCAACAAGGTCAGTCACTCTCAAAAGCTCATCTTCCTCCTCTTCTGGTGCCCCTGCCTCCTGCCCACCACTTGTCCCATTGGGGGCCAGGCTTGCACTGGCTGTACTGTTGTCCTTGGGGGTCTGAGGCTTCTCAGTTGTCTTGCCAATCAAGTTCTCAATGGCTTTGCCAGGACTCTGTCCATTGGTGGAAGGTAAGTCTACTAAGCTATAGTCCAATGGGCTGCCCACCTTGCCAACATTTTCAAAGTCCTCTTCTTCATCGCTGTCTATCCGATAGGGCTTCTTGGTGCTCTCTTGTTCTGAGGGCAGGGCCCTCGGGTGGCTGTCACGGGCAGGCTGATCTGCATCTCCATGAGCATTGTCACAACTTTCCTCGTCTGTCTCGATCCGGTGTAGCCGTTTTCTGGATGGTTTGCCTTCCTCTTCCTCCTCCTCCTCTGCTTCTGAATACTCATCTGTGCTTCGACCCCGCTTTCGAACTGACCGCTTTGATTCTTTTGCTAGCTCATCATCTTCAGAGTTCTTGGACATATAGCTCTCTAGAATAAACAGCATATTTAAGCCATTGGCACAGTTAACCATAAACAGATTTCAGTAATTCCCCTTTTCTTCCCCTATTCACCCCCACACCCTGCTTTCAGACTTGCTTGTAGATAAATATTTCCCTTCAATAATTGGCCTGATTTCTCTCTCTTCTCAGTCCCATAATAATGTCCAATATGATTCATAGTGTACTTTTACCTATAATTTAGGAAAGAGCAGAACTGGATTTCTTGGAGAAGAAATCTGATGATCCTTAAATTAAAGGAACATAGGTTGGTCAGAAACTAAGAAACCCCTTCTCACTAGCCCTCAAATTAATCATGTAAACACACTGATAAGGAAAGATGAGAACTGAGCACCCAAAGCCGGACATCTGAAACACTGAGCTCTCCATCCCATGTTATTAAATGTCTTCAAATGTTGTCTTCTCTTCCTTGTCTATACTTACTTCTAGGGGATCTCGCCTAGTCTCATGACTTTGCATACCATCTATATGCTATGCTGATGACTCTCATAGTTGTTTTAGGCAACCTCTAAATTCCAGACTCATGTATTAAACTGCCTACTCAACATATACGCTTGGACTTCTAAAGAGGATCTCAAACCAAATATGTCCAGAACTGAGCTCCTAGAATTCCACCTCAAACTGCGCTGGTTCTGGTCTCCACCGTCTTAGTTATTGGGAACTCTATTCTTCCAATTGCTTAGTCATCCTTGATTCCTTTCTTTCTCCCATCTAACCCAATAATAAATCCTTTGGGTCTTCCTTCAAAATACATCCATAAGTTGACTGCTTTTCACCCCTTTACTGCAATTGCCCTAATCTTACCCACATCATCTTTCAACTAGCCTATTTCAATTGCTTCTCAACACTCCTAGAGTCTGTCCTTGTCCCCGTCAATTTATTCATACCTCAGCTACCACAGGAAATTAAAACATAAGTTAGATCATAGTCCTCCAATTATTTCTCATCTCACATAGAATAAAATCCAAAGTCTATACAGTGGCCTGCTGCATAGCCAATATAGTAGTCACGCATCACATCAGGCTATTTTAAATTTAAATTAATGTGAAAAAAATGGACATGGCTGTGTTCCAGTAATACTTGATTTAGAAAATCTTTATTTACACAAACAGGTAGGCTGTAGTTCGCTGACTACTGCTCTACCTGATGTGGCCCCTGCTGATCTCTCTGCTTCAATCTCTGCTCTTCTTCCCCTCACTCACTCTCCTCCGACCCTTCTGGCCTCAATTCTGTTCCCTGAACATGCTAGGCACAAACTTGACTCAAGGCCTTCCCATCTGTTGTTCCATCTGCCCATATCACTCTTCTTTTAGATAACAGCATGATACACACCCAGCTTTTCTTTCAGGTCTTTACTCAGAAGCTGTCTTCTTAGTGAGACCTTCCTCTAGTGCCCTATCTGAAATTCCAGCTACTCTCCCAGCCCTCCTTTCTCCTTTATTTTTCCCCACAGCATTTATCTCCACTTATTTATCTTGTTTATTACCTCTCTCCCCTCAACTAAAATAAGATTTACATGAAGGAGTTACATGTTTTTTGGCTATTTTGTTCACTTTTCTATTCTCACTGCCTAGGATAGTGACTAGTTCAACAAGTATTTGTTTTTAATTTTGAGAATTCTGAATTTTATGAATATGTTTGTCTTTAATGACACATGAAGATAAATCCACACTCAAACAGATGTTCACCTCTCTTCTTTAGCCTCTCATATCCAAACATTTTTTTCCCCTTCTTTCCTGGCTTGGGCTCAAACTTAACTGACAAGGATCTATTAAAGCAAACAGATCATAACAAAGGAGAATTAAATATATAAAAAAGAAAGGGGGAATGTGAGGGTCAGAGTCATTTGAAATGAACTTGGGAAGAACTCTGGAATAACTACAAAGACTAAATGGATATCACAAATTCATATTTTAGAGCTCTTCCTGCACTTCTGGTATGGGGCAAAGCTAAAGGTATTAAGAAATAAAACAGTTACCAACTGAAGTTCACAGTCAAGGTGGAAACAGACAGTAGGCACCTTGCTCAGGAACTGTTCAGCTATTCATGGAGGTAAAGGAGGTTATTTCAAAATGAGGGCCACGAATAATAAGGGAGTGGAAGAAATCTTGCTCAGATCACGACTTTCTGAGACTCTTCCAGTTTCAATGAAGAATTTAATTATTACAATGGAGAACTTATAAATTAGTACCTTATCAAGTATCATTTATTTAAACTACAAATAGTGACCAGGCATAAAATAATGGGTTTTGCCTCAAAGATATTACTGGTTATACTATCTAAGAATACTCTGTCCAAGAAATGGTACAGAATTATAATCCTGAGTTCACTTTATATCTTCTATTTCTGCCTTGTCCAAATTTCCATAAACGAGAGATCTATTCCTTACCTTCACTCTCTGAGCTGGAAAGCCTACGTTTGTGAACTCGTCTGATTTCTTTACCACGTCGTAAGCTCTTCTGTGAACCATCACTTTCTGAATCTTCTTTGTAGTTAATTTGTCTTTTCTGGTTCCTCCTTGACCGCCTTCGCCGAGTTTCTACAAAATCATCACTAAAATCATCGCTAAAATCACTTTCTGTAAAAAACATTTAAAATGAAGTCAAATACAAAATTTAAGTCTATTAAATAGAAATGCAGTTAGGTTATAAAAATGTAAAGCTACTGAGGAGAGTTCAGTCATAACAATTTTTAAATGAATGGTAACTTTTTTAAGTCTCTTATTTTCTTATCAAAAGTAAGAGTAAATCTGTGGGGGTCTTTACTGCCAAACCTCACAAATGTATAGTATTAGCAGCCAATCCTCAAGACTAAAAGATGTTTTCTATAATCCTCTTATTCAACCTAGAGCTACCCAGTCGGCTGCCACACCTGCTCTTCTTGGTGGATAACTACTATTCTGCCTCACGACAATTTGCTGTTCTTATGTGTGCAGATGTACAGCTACAGCCATAACTTTACAATGTACTGCAGAGGTTAAACTCCCTAACCACAGAAAACTGATGCGCCTATTTCAAAGAAATAAGGAATCTGAGTTATATTTTTGGCTTTTTCCCATATGGAATTAAAATCTGCTAAATTTATCACACAGGGATAGTTAAACTCTCAATGCATAGCTAAATAGCACTGTTCTTACCATCTCTGATCAATAAACCAGAATCAGACTATGGCATTGTGTCGGTGCAGTTTTTTAGGAGTGCTAACAAATTCCACTGAATTATCACATCCAGCCTTCTTCTCTAATGGATTTCAAACATTTCAAAATGGCTAGATAGTTTGAAGGAGTCCCCACTGGCCAAATCTGGGAAAAACTGAGCCTAAATAGCGATGGAAACATACTGTATCCACTGACTAAAATAAGAAGCCACAAGTATATACTAATATAAAGAAATAAATATATGAGGGAGAAGGGAAAGCTCTTCTTTACAGAACACCAAGTAATAAATATAAAAGGAATGACGGAGTTAGAAAATCATCATGAATGCTAAAACTACTGGGTGAAACATCTAAGAAGGAAGAGCCTATTTACACAGTCTCAAAATATCTTCCTATAAATTACTTACTATTTACAAAGGGAAAAATAATGAAATAAAGAGATCTGGAGGATACTGTGATATTTCTGCCAAAAATGTATAACTTGAATCTAATCACAAGGAAACAGAAAAATCCAAATTGAGGAACATTTTATAAAATAACCAGGTGTATTCTTCAAAAATGTCAAGGTCAATAAAGACAAAATTTGAGGAAAACTCCAGATTAAAGGAGACTAAGGAGATATGAATAAATGCAATGTGTAATTCTGGATTGGATCTTGAACTAGGAAAAAAAATTGATACAAAGGACAATATTGGGACACCTGATAAAATCTGAATGTATACTGTTGACTAGATATGTTAAAATTTCTGATTTGGATAATTGTACTGTGATTATGGACAAGGAACAGGAAACTGTCCTTGTTCTGAGGAAATAATCACTGATCAAGGGGCATGATGTTTCTACTTACTCAGAAGGTATAGGAAAAAAGTCAAAACAAAAAACTGCAGAGGGGGCCAGCCCTGTGGCCAAGTGGTTAAGTTTGCACGTTCCACTTCAGCTGCCCAGGGTTTCGCTGGTTCAGATCCTGGGCGCAGACATGGCACCGCTCATCAGGCCATGCTAAGGCGGCATCCCACATGCCACAACTAGAAGGACCCACAACTAATAATATACAACTATGTACTGGGGGGCTTTGGGGAGAAAAAGGAAAAAATAAAATCTGTAAAAAAAAAAAATTGCAGAAGTCTGTCCAGAATCAGGGATATAATACTTCTGTCTGTGGCACTTCCTCAGTAAGATGACAGCTATCTATCTGCCAAGTCCATAAAGCATTCATATCTGTTCTTTTAGCTGCTGTGCCCCTCACTATTTATTCAGTTAATAGGGATAAGCATAAGCTACAAGAACTTCAACCACTGCTAATTTATAAAAACGAATGAATCACTGATCATGATCTTAATGTTAGAGATAACCGGTGATCCTTCTCTCTTCAATAGCTAGACATCTGAGAAAACTGTTCTCAGCTTACTGAGAATGATTCCCAAGAAACCCTATGAAGATAAAGTCTAGGCATGGAAACGACTGGCACCAAAACATGCATCACAATCCTAAATGAATTTGGTATGAAGTTAACCCATCTATGTGTTTCTATTTTCTTAGATATGCTGTCTGTGAAAAGATGAGTTACAAGTGAGTCATAGGAATAGAACTCAAAGTTTCACCAAAAAGCTTATATTACAATCGAATGGAATTTTATTTTAAGAAATCAACTCCAGAAGTCATAAGAATTTACTGAGTTAGTGTGATGTGGATGCAAATTATTTTTACCAGAGTCTCTACTATTCTCCTCAGACTCCTCCTCTTCATCATCATCGGAGTACTTTTTCTTTGGGGTCTTTCTCCGCAAACGCCTGCTTTGCCTCATTGGCCGGGAGGGATGTCGCCTCAGTCTTCGGCTACAGAAATCAGTGTCACTGTCATCGTTAGATGGTGGGTCTTCTTCACTTTCATCTGGGTTTTCATCAGATACAACAAACTCATCTTGAGATCTGTTCAAGAGAAACCAGATGAATCATGATGGTACACTTAAAATCAGGAAGCCATTTTTGAGAGTTCTGAGTTCAAATTCTAACGAGTCCAGTGAATCACTAAGTAATGTTTACTGTAAAATATCTGGATAATTGTTATCAATTTCCCTGTTTATAAAATGAAGAAATGTTTTGCCACTTATCCTCTTCTTAGGAGGAGTGATTAAGATGAAATAATGCTGATTTTTGTACATAAATTGCTTTCCTCTCTTGGGATGGCCTCCTTGTACCTTCAATTCAACATGTCCGAAAGCAAACTAATTATTTCCTAACCTACTCCTCTCTTCTGTTCCATAGCCTGGTATTGGGTACCATCACCCATCCAGTGTTTATCCTAAGTTCTCCCTTTTCATTTCTCACATCTAATCAACTACTAATTCCTCCTGAGTCTACTTCTTAAATATCTCAAACCTGACCCTCTTCTCTGTTCAGGCTCTCATCTCTTACCCTAAACTACTACAGCTTTTCCCCAAATAGTCTCTCTCATCTCTAGACTCATTTCTCCCTCAATATCCTCCACATGAATGCCAGGATGGAAATCTCCCTGAAACAAAAAACTTCTTACTAGTCCGCTGTTTAGAACTCTTCAATGGGTTTTCATCATCTTCAGGACAGAGTCCAAATTCCTATGTATGTCAAACAAAACACTGCATCCTCTGGTTCCTTTTTATCTCTTGGCCATATCTCCTGCAGGGCATTCTCTACTTCTTCCCCATATTCTTGCTATCCTAATACACCAGGAGTTTCCTAAATATTCCATGACCTTTCATACCTTGCTGGCTTTGACATGTGATTTCTCTGCTTAGAGAAATCTTCTAATTCTGCTTCTAATTCTTATTCTGCTTCTAATCCCAAACTCATCGATCTGCCATTACTCATTCTTCAAATTTCAGATCAAGATTTCTTTCTTTTCTTTTTTAAAAGATTGGCACCTGAGCTAACAACTGTTGCCAATCTTCTTCTTTTTATTTATTTATTTTTTTTTGCTTTTTTTCCTCCCTAAATCCCCCCAGTACATAGTTGTATATTTTAGTTGTAGGTCCTTTTAGTTGTGGCATGTCGGATGCCGCCTCAACATGGCCTGACGAGCAGTGCCATGTCCGCGCCCAGGATCCAAACTGGCAAAAACCCTGGGCCGCCGCAGTGGAGCGCACAGACTTAACCACTCGGCCACGGGGCCGGGCCCTCAAGATTTATTTCTATTCTGAGACTTTCCTTGACATCCCTGGACTGATCTGACTCTCTTCTGTACTCTAACTTATGCTTTGCCTATATTTTAGTAGCAATCATGCAGAATGACCTTTTTGTGGTTCATATGCTTGTTTTTTCCACTAACAATCTGAAAGGAGAAACTCTGAGGTATTGTTTCAATACCTGCTCTGCACGACAGCCTTTCCTGATCTTCCATACTGGATTAGTTGCCTCAACCCCAACCTCTATGGGTCCCCAGAGAATAGTATCTAATTACTTTTACTTGTCAATTTCTCACATGGGCCTGAGAACTGCTCATGGACGTGGTGGCAGAAAGTGGCACAGAGATACACAGCAAATGAATGCTCGACTGCAGTTAATGAAATTTAAATACAAACAACCATAAACCTACTTTGTTTTAATCTAAAAACAAAAACCCTAAGATCAGTATTCTTGAATCTGTTTTAAATATCCTGAAAATAAAAAGAGGTTGTCTATGTGCATGAAGAATAAAAGCCCCATGACAGCATGGCCGTGCTTCTCTGCTAGCCGTACTTACGCCTGTATAGAGGGAATGGGGTCTACTGCAGACTACGCACCCATCACTGATCTTGAATTCATCCTCACTCTCTTCTTCATCCAGGTTGCTGTCACTGTCCAGATCATTTAGTCGCCGGCGTTTCTTCCGGCGAGCAGCAGCTGCCCTTTGGGGTCGTTTATTTTCTTTTCTTTCTTCATCCAAAATAGTAGAGATGTCTTTCCCACGGTGACCTGTGATGGTGGAGATATCTTTTCCTCGGCCAACTCCTGAGTTCAGGGAAGAGAGGGAGGGAAGAAGAGAGAGAGACAACTGTACATTTATTAAAAGCTTTTCTTTAATATCTAAAGACTAGTCTTATTCGTGCTTAACAGCTCTTCATTTGATTTCTTTATTTTCTTCCTACCAACATGCGGTATTTTCACAACTTCTGCTGACAGCGTTCTCATCAAGAGTTTCTGCATTCATCTGTCCTAAATAGAAGTTCACCATGTAGAGAACTTATAAAAAGTTTTTTGATATAATTCACATACCATAATATTCACCCTTTTATTTAGGTTTTTTTTTTTTGAGGAAGATTAGCCCTCAGCTAACTACTGCCAGTCTTCCTCTTTTTGCTGAGGAAGACTGGCCCTGAGCTAACATCTGTGCCCATCTTCCTCTACTTTTTATATGTGGGACGCCTGCCATAGCATGGCTTACCAGGTGGTGCCATGTCCACACCCGGGATCCGAACCGGCGAACCCTGGGCCACCCAAGCGGAACGTGTGAACTTAACCGCTGTGCCACCGGACCGGCCCCTATTCACCCTTTTATAGTGTATAACTCAGAGTTTTTAGTATAGTCACAAAGTTGTGCAACCATCACCACTAATTCCAGAAAATTTTCATCACCCCAAAAAGAAACCTCATACCTATTAGCAGTCACTCAAGAATCTCTTCTTGAAAGTTGTCTTTTAGACATGGCTTTAGAAAGAGGTCAATCCATTTAAAAAAAACAAACTGAGTTTATAGGACAGAAAAAGTGAGAATTCAGCAGCAAAGATGTAAATAAGGCACACATCTCTGGAAAAGCTAGTGACTTTTTCAGTTCCACTACAAACAGCCTACTTATTATTAATCCTTTCCAGAGTTTTCATAACTAAATGGAAACCACAATGCTCCTTACTGGCACACTGGTAATTCACTATATAGCTCTTTAATTACCTTCAAATTCTTCCACTTTAATGTCAACTATTAAAGACTATGAAATTAATAAACTGATTTTTAAAAGGTTAATTTAAAGCAATCATTTAGATTCTGATTACCCATAATTTTTGAGACTTTGTAGCAGTAGTGATCTAAAAATAAAAAGACAATGGGAAAGTTTCACTTGGAGGCAGAAATAACTTTTTTTAATCGCTGAAGGAATATTTACATTTTATATTAGATCATAAAATGAAACTACTTTAAAAATAATTAGTAAGATCTGAGTCTATCCATTGACTCTGTGTCCACCAATTACTTTGAATATCAGACAGTTAACATCAGTAGTGATTGTGATACACACTGGGGAGAAGAAAATATGCTCACGGCTCGAATCAGGGCATTTTAGCTAACATATTGGCCGAGTACAGGAAGAAGAGAGAATGATAAACATATACCTCCTCCATCAGCTTCTTTGATATCATCTTCGATAGCTTCATCAATTGCTTCATCAAACTCATCGAATCTAAAATAGAGACAACAGTCACATTACGGCCTGTCCTGGCATCCGGTTGGAAGGGCTGCCTCTGAGGTAAGAAAGGTCTCAACATAAAACTGCTCTCCGCCACTTTGGGACTGTGTCACTTGGACTATATCACCTTGCTCCTGTTAACCTCAATTTCTTTTATTAAAATAAGGTTTTATAAATCAGTATCTAATTCATAAATTGTTGTTTTCCATTTTCAAAGATCACCTATACCAAGCACCAGTAAATATTTTTCTAAAGGGCCAGATAGTAAATATTCTAGGCTTTGTGACTGTACAGTCTCTGTTCTAACTACTCAACATAGCCCTTGTGGTGCAAAAGCGGCCACAGATAATACAAGACAATCACTGTGGCCATGTTCCAATGTAACTGTATTTATGGACTCTGTGATTGGAATTTCATGTAACTTTCCTCTTTTGGTTCTTTTTTTCAACCATAAATGCAGAAACCACCCCTAGGTCATGGGTGATGCAGAAACCGGCAGTGAGCTGGATTTGGGCCACAGGCCACAGTTTGCCACCCCCTAATTACACAAATCACATGGCAAAGCAAGTGGAACAAAATTAGTGTTCTGGAAATAATACTAAGTGTGAGGACTATATTATTGTTACTGAAGATTATATTGTTATTATTAGTGAAATTCATACACAGACAGTCAGAATTCTAGAACTAGGTACATGTACTTTTTCTCACAAGGGTTGTTTCTCACAGTTTAAAGGGCCAAGACTAGATGATTCCTAAGATTTCTTTACATAGAAAATTCCTCTCATTTTAGAGTTGAGGTGACCAAAAGGATAAAGTGACTTGTCTAAACCTATGCTAAATATGGTAATTACTAGCCATGTGTGGCTATTTATATTTAAATTAATTAAAATGAAAAATTCTCTTCCTCAGTAGCTCAAGTGCTCAACAGCCAAATACGACTACTGGCTACCATACTGGATAGCAAAGAAATGGAACATTTCCATAACCACAGTATGTTCTGCTGGACAGCTCTGGATTAAAGCCACACAGAGGATTAACAACAGAGTTAGGACTAACAGCCAAATATTTTGCCTTTGAGCTGAGAAACTCATTATAGCTATGGACTTCCTCTGTAGGAAAACATACATATACTTACACAAACATAACATCTTGTAAATAATTTCAGAGGATTCAGAAGTTTCAGGTCAAGAACTCTTCTTCTACAACATACCTTTTAATGGCTGTATAGTGACGCATCTTACGGGTGTATCATAATTTAGTTAAAAGTCTTACTTCCAATTTTTTCAAAATTATAAACAATGCTATGAAAAAATTCCTAGAGCTCTACCTTAGCTTTTCCTGAAGATAAGTTCTAAGTAAAAATCTGTGCAGCCATTCGCCAGGCTAGAATAACAGATACAGATAATGCTAGATGCGAAGTTAAAAGAAAACAGTATTTCTCCCAAGGACATGATGCAGCCGTAAAGGGGCATAACAACCTATTTCTTTGAGTGACTACTATTTTCTTACTCACTGAGAAGCTTTGTTTTCTAAAAACAGAGACCATCAGAACCTTTGGACATAGGAAATTCTATCAGTAAGAATGAAACACCTCACTCTTGCCTGGAGGAGCTAAGTCACTTTCACCACAAATCAGCCTTGCTCTACATCACAGATGGAGAGTTCTGCATGGGGGTTGGACACAACACTCCACACATCTACTTTAACGTCATTGTTTTCAAGGAAACAGGACTCCCTGTGCACTATGCTTCCAGATCTGACAGTGACCCCTTTACAGAGCTCTGCTTTGCTTTCAGCCTTACTCTTCATTTGCTTCATTTAAATTTCATCTAAACTCTATCCTTCCTCAATATCTTATTCTAAAAACATTATTTTCTTGTCCTTTTAATTTTAATTTGATTACTGAGTAAAGCCAAACATTATTTTCATGTTTATTAGTCACTTTACTTTTTATTTTACAAGTACCCATTTGTGTCCTTCGCCCATTTTATCAGCCACTGTGTTCTTTTCTTACTGATTTGTAACAGCTTTTTATGTATTAAAGATTCTAACCTCATTGTCATATGTTGCAATTATTTCTATTCAAAGTGTATTCCCCCTTTAAACTTTGCTTATTTTTTTTTTAAGTTCTGAGAAAGGAAAATTGACATCTTGCCCTGCTACCACTATGAATGTCTGCCCATCGCACCTCTAGTCAGGCCCCCTCCCAAATAAACAAACAAACAAAGTCACCTTGTCTAGTTCTAGTCTCTAAAATAAATGAAAACTTAATTTTCCTTAAGTAGTTGATTCCCTAACAAAAATGGCTTTATCCTCAAGTTTAGCAATGTTAATGTCTGAAGATATGCTACAGCTTTTGCAGACATCATGTGAAAAAACTAATGTATTTCCACCATGAAAAAAACTATAATCCCTGTAATTTTTTAAATTCATAAGCCATCCTTTGCAAAATTCCTTTGCAAGCACTTTCTTTTGTAGATGCTTTGTCTGTGTTTTTCTAAATTTTTATGTAATCAAATATCCTTTCCATTATTGTTTCTGTGTTTGGTGTTATGCTTAACAAGTTGCTCCTTACACTAAGATTACATTCCTTCCTTAAATCCTTTTGCAACACTAGGTAGGGTATAAATAAATGAATCACACCATACCTCTATGCTAAAAAACAGTTTATCATAAGTTCCTATATTACTGTTACATAATTGCAGAGCTGAAGGCATTCATCTGGGTTAATCCACCATCACAGGCACGGCAACCAAGACCTAGGGAGACGGCCCACTTAAAGATACATGGCTAATGAGTGGCGCGGTGAGGACAATGCTCCCTCTAGTCAACTTTGATGTCATCCTCTCTGTTGGGAGCAATAAGAATCTGATAAACAATTATTAAATGAGAGTAGTGATGAAATCCTTTTTTGGGGGGTCCTTTTTCTGTGTTGATACATTATTAAGTATCTTTACATTTTACATTCACAACAGTCCAATTTCAGCCCACGTACAAAGTAAATTCTAGGTGTATTTAGAGCTTAAATATGAAGAGTAAAACTTAAAAAAATTAGAGAAAGCATTTGAAGGACTCTATTAATTCATCTCAGGTAAATTTCTTTAAAAAGCAAAAGAAGCAAAAATAATAAAGAAAAAGTGATGAGACATACAAATGCCCAAAAGCATATGAAAAGATACTCAGCATCACCAACCAACAGGGAAATGCAAGTCAAAATCATGAGATATCGCCTCACATCTGCTAGGATGGCCACCATCAAAAATACAAAAGCCAACAAGCGTTGGTGAGGATGTGGAGAACCCAGAAACCCTATACACTGCTGGTGGGAATGTAAAATGGCACAGCCGCCACAGAAAACAGCATGGAAGTTCCTCAAAAAAACAAAAATAGAACGACCATATCACCTAGCAATCCCACTTCTGGGTATATATCCAAGATGAAATGCTAATAATAACTCCAATTACATCAGGACTGAAAGACAATACAGTTCTGCTACAAAGCTCATTAACATAAATGCAAAGTTCTTTCAACATGACTGATATATTAGGAAATAAGTCAAGCATAACGTATATTTCATACTTTCTTATAAGTAATTTCAATTCTGAGAAACCCTAGGTAAATGCAGAAAATTGTGCCTAGCTGTATAGGAATACACAAAACGCACACACCTCAAACACCTACCGGCTACCTCAGCTCATCAGGTGTGTTTATTATAAGCTAAAGCCATCTGCATCTGGTGTTACAAGCTTCTGGCTGATTTCAAATAACCGTCCTTCTACCACCATAAAATAATTTACAAACGGCAGCCCTCCTCACAATCACTTCCACAGGCAACCTTCAGGGCTTTTTTCAACATAGAATGTCGTATTTATTGTAGTACTTACGTTATTTCTTAACTATTTAACATGTCAAATAGTACTATCATTTTTATTAGATTCCTATCTTTTTTAAAAGAATGTGTCACTTATGAAGTTTTTGAGTGTGTAGCCCTAACTCAGTATTTCCCACAATCCATAGGTTTCTATTGTGTGATTTTGCATAGCAGGGCTACTTTTAGGAAAGCACATGTTGGGATACAGCAGAACTGAGTTTACACCTGCACCTTCCATCAGCAGGCTTTGATGGAATTGGCTATAATGATTTTATATAAAGTAGCACTTTTTAATTTTCAAAGTTTTTTTTAAAAAAAGAATATGATGGATACTATTGCCACATATATTAAGGATTTTACTCTTACTGATCTTACTGCATTTTATTAAGTTTTAACAATAATAATAGCAGCAAACTACACATGGGGAACTCTCCCTTGATCACTGATGAAAAGTTTATAAACAAGAAGCAAGCTCAAAGTTCTATAAAATCGACTTTGTTTTTCATCTCCAGTTATCAAGTTACAAGACTGTTTTCGTGTTGTCTAAGTAGACCACAGATCAAACAATGATCTAAAGCAATTAAAATAAATTCATTATTTGAGTGAGACAGAGTGGTTTAGTGGAAAGAACACTGGACTAACAAACAATCAGAAGATAAGGTTTTAGTCTAGGTTTAGCTACTAACAGGGTGACCATGGAAAAATCTCTCTCTCTCTCTGGTATTTCTGACGGCAGATGGTAAACTAGATTGTATTTACTGATTCTTTCAATAGGCATTTATGGAACACTTACTATCTGCCAGCACTATGCCTGCTGTAAAGGACAGAAGGACACATAAAACAGACATGGTCCTTACCTTCTTGCTAATAGTCTAGTGGGGGAGAAAAATATTAATCAAATAATTAAAATCACAATCATTATAATTATGATAAGTGCTTTCAAGGAGAAGAATTGGTTGCTATGAAGGCATACAATAGAGGGATTTGATTAAGAAATGGGTGACAAGGTAAAATTGGGTGGGAAATTCTAAGCAGAGTAAACAGTATGTGCAAAGGGACCAAAAGAAGACAGCGTGGCTAATGCTTTGAGAGGAAAATGTGGCGACACGGAGCTGAAAAGCTCAGCACAAGGTCGACAACACAGCGCCTTGTGGGCCTCGTTAAAGGCATCGATCCTTATCCCAAGAATTATAGAAAACTGACAGTTTGTCAAGCAGAAGAAAATGATATAAGCAAATTTACATTTGGAAAAGATCATGTTGGCTGCTCTAAAATTCTGTGATTCTAAAGACAGTAGGTAAGATAAATATATACGACTGCTAATAATCACTGTGATGGGAAAAGCATACACTTGTGGGTTGTGTCGTGTAATTTAAAAAAACATTTACACTCTTTCATTGTAAACATTTCCACATATTTCATACCTATAACTTATACATTTCCGTGTTCTTGTTGACCTCCTTTCAAGCAAGTTTGCTTTTGATTTTTTTGAATCTTTTTTCTTTTCTTCATGATCTTCAGAAAAATCTGGCTCCTGGTTTAAAAATATGATAAATATATAGATTATTACAACAGAACAAAATTCCTGGGAACTAATAGGTTTCTAATGTCCATCTAGGCAGCCCATGTGAAAGGTTTGAAAAGTGAGATGATCCTTCTAAAATTGAACAACGATGGCAACATTAAGTATAGAAATTAAAAAGAATATTGGTGATCAGAGGATCAAACACTTCTGTATTAAAATTCTCAAGTTTCTGTGAGTTTATAATTACCTCTTTAAAAACAATCATGATGAAGTTTTTCCACTGATAAATATTTCAACAAGTAAGTAAATTTAACACATATATTTAATAGATATGCTGAATAAGTGAACTAACGGATTTGGAAAACAAAGGTGCATAATGCTGAAGGAAAATAACTAACCAAGGCAGGTTACTTGACCATGTGATTTAATTAAGCCCAAATGAAACTAAAAAAATTTCTTCATTTCAGATATGGTATATATACACAATGGAATGTTACTCAGCCCTAAAAAAGAATAAACTCGTCTCATTCACAACATGGATGGACCTTGAGGGTATTATGTTAAGTGAAATAAGCCAGATAGAGAAAGATAATCTGTGTATGACTCCACTCATAAGTGGAAGTTAAACATGTAGACAAAGAGAACAGAATAGTGGTTACCAGGGGAAAGAGGGGGTGGGGGGAGGGCACAAAGGGTGAAGGGGTGCATCTACAACATGACTGACCAACAATAACATACAACTGAAATTTCACAACGTTGTAAACTATCATAACCTTAAGTAAAAAAAAAAATTCTTCATTTCAAACGCAAATCATGTTACATGTACTTTCACTCTTGGGTATCCTTTTTACTTATAAATTAGACTACTAAATGCAAAACAGTGATATCCCATCAAAGAAACCAAACTGTAAGAACACAAATTGAAGTTTCTGATAACCACCAAAGCAGAAAATTACAAACAGAATCTCTCTATTCTTTAGTCACTTTACATAAAGAAGCTAAAAACAAATTACCCAATTTAGCGTAAAAAAAAAAAAAAAGAACAGAAACCCCATAGGGGTGAGCTATAAATGTGGTTTGAATGTCATATTATATTTGGGGGCTTCACACACACAGTAATTTCAATCACGAGGGATTATGGGTGATTTAAGGTCCTAAATTTTCATTTTTAATAAGATTGGTATACTATATATTTAAAACTACTGACATTACATAAAGTGGGCTAAATTTTAAAACAATTACGCCAGTCTCCTCTTTAAAAATACTACAAACGAAAAACTTACTTGTGGCGGAATGATGTTTTCAATACTGATACCCACATACACCAAGCGTTCTTTCCTTTAAGTGAAAAACAAACAAGCACACAAACAAGATAAGATTTGCTAAAAATAAAATTGTTATGAAAACACTAACACAGACAATACTAAAATCGCACTTTCATGGTAATAGCAGAGGCTAGGTCACAGACATGTTAGCTACCATCTGTAAAACTTAGAGTATGACTATCTGTGGAAGGCACAAAACTCTCTAAAAGTATGAAAACTGTAGCTTTACAAGCGACTTATACCATTAAAATAAAACCTGTAACTGAAATAGACAAACTTCATGAACAGTCATGCTGAGACTCACTGATAAAGTGATTAGATGGAAAGCCACTATGGGTGGACAAACTAGATCTTTGTTATTACACATAGTAATATTGTATATGTGTATACACAGTTGTAATCTCATGGTAATAAATATCACTATAAAAAAGAAGAACTCTACATAACAGAATCATATCAAGGACTCAGTGAATGATACTAAGACCATTCACTTCTTGTTTGCAGAGAAGGAAAAAAGCAATGCAGCCATACGGCTCTGTACTCTAGAGTGCTACAACAAAGATATCTTTAGAGCCAGTTAAGACTTCTCCAGGAAACGTGGATTTAGAACACTAATGACAGCTCCACAGGTTCATTTCAAAGAAATAAACCTTTGTTGATTTTAATTCAATAAATTTAACAGAACAAATTGCTATATACAACATGTGCTTTCTCTGGTTCTCCCAAGGTTAACTCAATTCACCAAGTGCATGTATGTTGAACTGAATGGAAATATTAACCACTCTTCCTCCCTTAACTTGTGATGTCCGTTACAGAAGGACATTAATCATCCAGTACCTGGGGTCCTTTAGAATGCAGCCTTTACTGCCCCATAAACCCTTGACCCTACTAATAAACAAGAATCCTATGGTCTTTTTAGAGACAGGTTATGAAGCTATTAAATAACTGGCATGTAAGAAAATGATAGATATTTTAATCAAAACCTGATTTAAAAAACAGTATAGTTAATGAACTATAAACTAGGAAAAGCAAGAACAGTACTAGCTAAAATTAAAAGGGAAGGCTTCATTGATAACTCAGAACACGAGCTCTTATTAAATATGTTTGACATGTCTGTCCTTACACTAACTAAATTTATTGTGATATCAGTTTCCTCTTTCATATCTCAAAATCTCTGCTTTCACTTGTATTTTTCTCCTCAACTTAGTTGAAAAAACACTTAGTCATGTTCACCATATTAGATCATGATTTGTATCAGGCTTGGGAATCCAAAAGTAAATAAGACATGGTTTTTGCCCTCACAATTATTTAACAACTGACTGTAGTCCATAATGAACAGGTATAATGGAGACATGAAAAAGGAACAGATTTTGTCTGAAGAGCTGAGAAATTTAGGAAGGCTTTAAATAGATGCTAACATGTGAGTAGAATCTTGAAGGTAGGTAGGATTTCTCATCACAGCGTTCTCTTGCTCAGTAATGTTATGGAAAGATACATCTTCCATTCCATCTTACCACTTAGCTCAATGAGCATATTGGGCCCAGGCCTTATCATTACCAATAACCACACCCCTTCTAAAAGTTCAATTTCAGGCATCCTATTCTCTGACTTCTACCGGCTCACTTTCCAGCTCACTCCCTCTGGTACACTGATTTCAACAATTCTCTGACTCCGGTGGGACCTCTATCCATTGACCCTACCCTCTTTTTACTGTCCATCACTCCCTTCATATCCTTACTTTCCCCCTTACCTGGCTTAGACTCCACGGTCCATCATTATAAATATTCCTTTGCATACACTTTCAAATTCCTTGTCTCTTTCTCTCCTTCCCTCTGTTATATTACCTGGAAAATTCCAACCCTGATTAAATCCAACTCTCTGCTAGCAAAGCACTTGTAATAGTATTCTGGAAGTACAGAGCTATTTGAATTCCCAAATAATTTCTGGCACCACGTTCTGGAAGTGACGTTTACAAATCAGTTGGACGGACTTCTGAAATATCAGATTTCACAGAGCATCACAGCTCCAGCTCTGTAGATAGTTGCTGGCTAGTCACTAATTACTCAATGACACATCCTACTTTTCCACCATACTGTAGAGCCTTTAAAGGTAGAGACCACAAAACAGACTTAATGCTGATTACATTGCAAATGTTGGTTAAATGTTGAATAAATGCACAAGGGGAAAAATGCTCATGTTCTATGACAGAGTAAGCAAGGCTCTAACCTGTCAGGATGAGTGCTAGAGAAATTATTTCACAGATTTAAAAAAGGATGAATAAAAATGCTCACTTTTAAAAGCAGATGAAACCACCTGGAATTTACAGTTAATATATTATTTATTTTAGAAACATATATATTTTGCTGTTTAGAGCTCCTAAGATTCATGCATATACACGTATAACAGGAGCTATAAATAATCAAAGCTTTGTTAACCAGATTACTGGGAAGAATTAACAAATAGCAGCTACATTTCAGTTTAACTGGTCTTGTGCCAGATTTGTCCCCCTATAATGATAACTCTGTTCTTCTTCCTGTGATTCAATCTCATATAAGATTTAGTGTATGATCTAAAGCCACAACTACAGATGTCCTCTTAAAGGATGACATGTAGGTAAAGAGCATTGTCAAGAATAGAAGAGAAATCAAATGAACTACTAAATGGGAGACCAGCAGTGTGAACAAATGTTGTGGCACATTTTAACATAAATTTCTAAAATTTAAAATATTTCTTAATTGCAGCAGCATATCCTAAAGCATGTGAGGCAATAGTCAAAAAATTTTTATCAGCCTTTCCACATATAAAAAGTCTAAGCATCAAAGGCCTCCAAAGAACAAGCAGACACACAGTGCTGCGTCAGATCAGCTTCAGAACATGAGAACACTGCTCTTTTCTCAGAAGGGCAGGCAGATTTCAGAAAGACAGGCAAAGGAAAATCTAATAGTTAGTTCTGATTTCATTTGTAGCATCCTTAGTTGGATGTTTTCCAGTGTCAAAAAGAAAAACAGGAGCAACTTGGCAGATCAAAATAGTCCTAATAATTTTATATAGGACTATCAGAGTTTGTAAATACAAAGGTATTTAGACAATCGATTTTAAAAAACTAAGTATTTTTATCTCCTACTCAACTTTAGAGATTAAGTTTGCCTTTAAACTAAGTAGAATCCATTACTAGCCAGAGAGTTCAAACCGAATAGTAAAGAAAACAACAGAATTTGGAGGCTTAACCCATTTTTAAGGTTCACCTTTGCACAGAGTGAAGTCAGTAGATGATAGAAGGAACTGACTGCCTTAAGTCAAGCTAAATTTTCAGGGGAAGACTATCTGACAGCTGGTGAAAGTTAAAGGAGCAGCAAAGGAAAGTAAAAAGACCAATCAGGAGAGACTGCTTAGATTTTCTCATACTATGTACAAATGGGCACCAAGTCCCTGATTAATCCTCTGAAAATTCTCTCCAACCTCTCAACTTTATTATCTCAACGAGTGCCCTAGTTCAGGCCTCATCAGCTCTCACAGACTCTATTGCAACAGCCTCAACTCTAATTCCTTCTTCTTATTGTTGCTAGGATATTTTTTTCTGAAATAAAAATCTGATTATGCGTATCCCTCCTTTGATGGCTCTCCCACTGCCTATAGAGAATAATTCAAATTCCCTAACCAGGTATGCAAGGCTGTTCACAATTTGGCCTCAACCTGCTTTTACAGCTTCATCCCTTACCACTTTCCTACTCTCACTTTTACACTTTGTCTTTGCTTTCATTTGTGCACTTTGCCTAAAATATTCTTTCTCTGCATGTCCACTTGTGTAACCCCAAGTTATCTTCCAAGGACTTCCATTATAACCCCAACCCCTAGGAGAACTAAAATGCCCCTTCACAATGTTCTTGTATTGCTCTTATCACACCTCGATTTGTCTCCTTTATTATATCACTGGCTTATATGTCTGTTTTCTGACAGGTGAGCTCCATGTAAGTGAGAGCTATGTCTTACTCATCCTTTTGGTTTGGTACACAGCAGGTTGGAATGAACATTTAGCAATAGATTAATCAAATAAGGCACAAATAATATAAACATAAACTTACTGTCTTGATTTTGAGCCCCCTTTTAAAGTTTAGGTTCAACTCCAGTCTTACCTCCTCCAACTGCTTTAGACCACACCAGAGTGGCATATTGAAAAGGGAGGCATCTCTTAGAGCCAGTAGGACAGAGGTCAGCCTTTAAATGCTCTTTATCTCACCAGTGTTAATTCTGCCCACCCAAAGACATGACCCGGGAAGCTAAACCACAGACCAGTTTGTATAGTTTTCTTGTACTCACTACATGCTTAGTTCCATAATATTTGGGCCAATATTTATTCAGAGAGGGTTCTGATAAATATTTTAGATCAGGGGTTGGCAAACTTTTCCTGTAAAAGGACAGATAATAAATTAGGCTTGGCGGGTCATAAGGATTCTGTTGCAACTACTCAACTCTGCTGCTATAGTGCAAAAGCACCTGTTAGACAATATATAAACACACGAGCATGGCTACGTTCCAGTGAAACTTTAGTTATGGACAATGAAATGCGAATACATGGTTTTCATGTGTCATGAAATACGATTTTTTTTCAGTCATTTAAAAATGAAGAAACCATTCTTAGTGAGCAGACAATACAAAAACAAAGAGCAGGCTGGATTTGGCTCACAGGTCAGTTTGCCAATCCCCACTTTAGATAAAGGCATTAATCTGTACTCCAAGAAAATTCTGCCGTCAAGCTCCCAAGTAAAACATTAACACGTGTCGCAATACCTGCGTTCAGCCCGCTCCTTCTTCTTTAAGGCAACATCTAAATCCTGCAACTGTTCCTCTAATTTTTCACACAGTAGTTTCTGAAAGAGGAAAACAGATAAGTATCAGTTGTAACACCTTTCCATCGTCATTTATCACTTGCATGTTACCTCATGGATACTGTGCTATGAGAGCTGATAAGGGGCCACATAGTAAGTGAGCACTAAAATGTTCCTTCTGGTGAATTAAATAAAGAGGTGCCTCAGCATCCACTGAACTGAAGATGAGCATAACATCTGTGAAGCAAAGCACATCAGAGAAACTCAAAGTCTTGCCAAAAACACATTCTATCCTATCTTGCTGGCAATAATCAATGTTTAAAATAGCATTTGATTCAACAAGTACACATGACTGATTAAAATGTTTAGAAAAATCCCAGGACATTTTTAAGGGAGAAGGTTATATATACAATAAAATAAAATGATGCCAATCACTAGTTTTAAAAAAAGAGAACAGAACAAAGTCCGCAAGACCATGCTAACTGGGTCAAAACAGAGCTGAAAAACATAATTCATAAAGCTATGCTAAGCCACAGAAGCCCACTTCACTGAGAAGTGCAATAAAGCCTATCATTTTTAAAGCAAAATGAGACTGGGCTTGTGAGAGAAAGGACCCCCTGGGGGCAATGGCATAAAAATATCCTGTTGTTCAGCTTACAAAAGTTAATTCACCTGCATCAAGATGGGAGAAAACAGAATTCATGTTTTTATTCACAGTACCATCATAATGGTACATAATTCATAATACCATCTATAAAACTTCTGACAAAAAGAAGGTAGACAGAAATGATAAGGAGGATGAAACGAATGGATAAACAACAGGAAGAAACTTCTTTCTACCCTTGTATATTATCTTAATTTGGCGGTCTTTGTGTCTTTAACAAATGTGAGAAAAAGTAAAGCAGAGATTATTGTAGAAAAATTAGAGGTTTTCAAGAATTGTTTTGGAAAAAGAAATGAAGGAAAGACCTAAAAGATATTAATAAAAGGCAGTTTTTTCCATAGTCTCTAATCTCACAGAAATTTAAACAAGAGGTAAACAATATTTACAAATTGCTTTGAAGATTAAAAATGTTTAGTAGCTGTCAGTAAGTATTATTACTTTGAACATAAAATCAAAGACTGAATAAACAGAAGTGTGCTGGGTCATACATGTTGGCAAGGAGGGCAGAACCATTCTCCGTCAGGGATGATCATCAGAGGAGGGCGAAGGCAGGCAGTGTGGTATCCACTGTCACAAGAGTCACACAGAAGAATCTGAAACAAACCATACGTTAATGTCAACCTCACTCCATGACTAAACTTCACTGACTCTTAAGTTAAAATAGACATTTCAATATTTCTTAGTATAGTACTAAGAAATATACTATACTACATTCTTTATTTGCATACAGCATAATAATAAAAGAGCTGATAATTTGGGATCTAACATGCCATCTTTTTTAAAAAGATGGGCACCTGAGCTAACATCTGTTGCTGATCTCTTTTTTCCTTCTTCTCCTTCCCAAAGCCCCCCAGTACATAGCTGTATATTCTAGTTGTGAGTGCCTCTGGTTGTGCTATGTGGGACGCCAGCTCAGCATGGCCCGATGAGCGGTGCCATGTCTGCGCCAGGATTCAAACTGGTAAAACCCTGGGCCACCAAAGTGGAGTGCATAAACTTAACCACTCGACCATGGGGCCGGGCCCCTAACATGCCATTTTTTTAAAAATAAAAAAACTAAGAAAATTTAAGGTACAAAAATTTAGTGAAAAATAACAAGTCCTTACTGAACTAGAGTTATAATTCTTTTATAGTGTGCTATAAGGGCAATAACAATATATTCTTTATAGCAAAGTTTTATAGTTTAAGAATCATAAACTACCCACCACACATAGAATTTCAAAAATACAAATAATTTCCACTTTAAGCAGCATTTAAATTACCTATCTGTAAGAAACATTTGTGGTTCTTTTTATCATGTAAATTCAAACATGGAAGGGAATGAGGTATTAGAAGAATGAAACTATACTCAGGAACATCATCTTCAAATACAAACACTAACAATAATTAGTCTTAAGTTGATATTTTTTATTTGAGTTTAACGTGACTATTTCTCTAAAACTTGAAATGGTACACTCATGAATGTTTAATTTAAAAATAACTTTCTATTTTTAAATAATTTTAGGGAGCTGGCCCCGTGGCTGAGTGGTTAAGTTCGTGCGCTCTGCTTTGGCAGCCCAGGGTTTCGCCGGTTCGAATCCTGGGTGCAGACATGGCACTGCTCATCAGGCCATGCTGAGGCGGCATTCCACATGCCACAACTAGAAGGACCCACAACTAAAAATACACAACTATGTACTGGGGGGCTTTGGGGAGAAAAAGGGGGGAAAAATCTTAAAAAAAAAATTTTTATCTTTACAGAAGTTGCAAAGATAGCACAGAGTTCCCATAACCCCTTTACCCAGCTTTCTCCAATGTCAGCATCTTACATAACCATGGTACATTTAGCAAAACTAAGAAATTGAAATCAGTACAATACTGTTGACTAAATAACAGACTTTATTCAGATTTCATTAATTCTTTTTCTTTTTTTGAGGAAGATTAGCCCTGAGCTAACATCTGCCAATCATCCTCTTTTTGTTGAGGAAGACTGGCCCTGAGCTAACATCTGTGCCCATCTCCCTCTTCTTTATATGTGGGATGCCTGTCACAGCATGGCTTGCCAAGTGGTGCCATGTCCGCACCTGGGATCCGAACCAGCGAACCCCAGGCCACCAGAGCGGAACGTGTGAACTTAACTGCTGCACCACTGGGCCAGCCCTCAGATTTCATTAGTTTTTCCACTAACGTCCTTTTTCTGATTCCAGGATCCAAGCCAGGATATTATACTGCATTTAATCATGTTTCCTTAATCTTCTCCAATCTGTAACAGTTTCTTGGTCGTTGTTTTCCATGACTTTGACACTTTTGAAGAGTACTAGTCAGATATTATGCAGACTGCCACTCACTTTGGGTTTGTTTGATGTCTTCTCTTGAGTAACCTAGAATATGGGTTTTGGAAAAGAATTTCACAGAGCCCTGCTTACTGAATCATATCTGGGGGTACATGATATCAATATGACTTATTACTGGTGATATTAACCTTGATTACTTGCTTATGGTAGTGTCTGTTGGTTTTCATCACTGTAAAGTTACTACCATTCACCTTCCATATTCTCTTCTCAATAGAAGTGCTAAGTCCAGCCCACACTCAAGGGGAGGGGAATTAAGCTCCACTATCTGGAGGAAGAAGTATCAAAGAATTCGCAGATACAAGTTAAAATTATCACAGTAATTAATAAATTAATAAATATTTGGGGGGAAGATATGGTGAAGCTATGCAAATATCCTGTTTTCCTTCAAGCTTCACTCACCAGTTTTAGCACTAGTGGATGCTGCTGGCAACAATCATTACTGCGGTGCTCTAATGGTGACTCTCTATTTCCCTCACGCCTTCTACATTTGCTATTTGGAATTCTTAAGTGAAAGAAAAAATATATCCCTCCTCCCCCATCCATTTACTTATTCAATTATTTATTTATATCAGGATGAACTAATGAATATTTATTTTACTCTTTGGGTTAAAATCTAAAATTGTTATTTAATCAGTCAAATTCAAATTGTGCTAGCCATGGACACACTGGGAGCTGTGTCCGTAGGACTCATTTGTATCTTTTCTTTTCAAAAGCTCTTCTTTACTTCCTGGCACTATGGGATAGTCCAGGCACATCTTATATTTTCCCAGCCCAAGCCTTTGAATCAGCCATTTTTCCCAGAACCCCTGGTTCTTTTACTGGAGAATGATTTTTAGAAACCAAGATTGGGTGCTGAGTGCTCACTGCTACTGGGTATCACTGCTTCTAAGGTCTCTCAGAGGACAGAGCTAAGAAATATATTATGTATAGTGATGTATACAAATAAACCTATATTAAAATAAGCATGAGTTCATACTAATTTCTCTACCTCTCATTCAGCGCCACAGGATTCATTCTAGCCTTTGGCCTTGCTTATTTGTAACTTCTTTCTCTGACAGTGAGAAGGTTGGCTCCTATTATCTACACTTCATTTATTTGTTCAACCCTAGCACAGAGGTAGTTTCTGAACTGCTAACATATACCCCAGGGGATTGGGCGGGGGGGATGTGTACACATGTGCAGTGATTTAAAAGTGAAAAATACCTTCCCTCTTCTTCATACAAAGCATCACCATTTGTTGCCAATACCCAAAATTCAATACTAAGTTATATTAGTATTATACTGCAGTTATATGACTGATTGATTACGTAGGCACGTGTGGCCTAACCTGGGCACCTGATTCCATTTATCATATTGTTTCTATGGTACAACTAATCTAAATTTCAAATAAAATTAAAAGTAAATTTTTAGAATTCAACTTATTTCTAAAACAATGATTGTCTCTATTCCACAATAAAGGTAAAATCCTATTAAAATAAATATTACTATGTAAGATTTCCAAGCCTCAAGCAATTATCCTTTTATTTTGACTAAAACATGGAAAATCTGAGTTCTACACTCATCTACAAATTTATTGCTTTTCTGCTGTAAGCTCAATGAGGACAAGGACCATGTCTTCCTAATTCAGCATCATTTCCCTACCACTTAACACATAACACTTGCTTGGCAGTTTGATTTGAGGATTAACCTTAAACACAAAGCATAAGAAATCCAGCACATTTGGGATCTTCAGTTTCCAATGTCATTCTCTTTGGCACAGTAATCAGCAATGAGATTTTCAGAGTAGTTATTAAGATAGCCAAATAAATATAAATCTTGTGTGTTCTGCAAGAAGGGTGCAACTTTCTCCATCTCCTCAATGTCATGTCTGCTCACCTCATTTTACTTCTCATTTCCTCACACCCCTTTGTCACATCTACTGCTGTCTCAATTAAAATGAACTCTTAGTTTAAAAAGATAATAAGGAAATGGTAGAAAAGAACACAAGTGTTGATTTTTACTTGATTTAGAGGGCAGAAAACACCACTATCTCAAATCGTCTCTTGACCTTTCTCCACACAAAAATCTTGACCTAACTTTCATAGCCTGATGATCATAAAGAGTCTTTGCAGAGTAATTTCAAGATCTATTCTTCTTAGAGCTAAAGTCATTCTCTGGTTCTAATAATCTTTTTTTTGCTGAGGAAGATTAGCCCTGAGCTAACATCTGTTGCCAATCTTCCTCTTTTTTTGCTTGAGGAAGATTAGCCCTGAGCTAACATCTGTTGCCAATCTTCCTCTTTTTTTGCTTGAGGAAGATTAGCCCTGAGCTAACATCTGTGCCAATCTTCCTCCACTTTATATGTGGGCTGCTGCCACAGCATGGCTGACGAGTGGTGGAGGTCCACGCCTGGATCCGAACCTGTGAACCCAGACCGCCGAAGCACAGTGCACTGAACTTAACTACTATGCCACTGGGCCGGCCCCTAAGTTTCATCTTTTACTTGAACCTTCTGAAACTACTGGGATATGATAAACTTCACTGATGAATTTAGTTTATAGATATTATTTTAACATTAAAGAAGAAAGGAACAAGAAAGCCACAAACAACTTTAACCCAGCAAATAACAGATGTCAGGAACTGTGTGCTAGACGATTTTACATAGCTCATTAAAAACAACCCTCAGAACTATGTGGTATTATTCCCATTTTACAACGAGGAAATCAAGATACAGAGAAGACGGCCCAGTAAGTGGTAGAAGCAGGATTGCAACCAAGTCTGTCTGGTCCCACGCTTTTCCCATGATACCACACTGCTTTCTAGGAAAAAAGAGCCTTGGAGAACCACCTCATATACATTTTCCAAACTTTAGAGGATCTCAAGTTTCTGCTCAACAAAAATTCCTTCCATGTTGAAGCATATTTCTTTCTACTTAATAGTTGGAGCTTGCCTTTAAAGTCAGATCTATTCAAAAGAACAGAACAGTTGCATAGAATTAAGTATAACAAGAGTGTTTCTTCAACAGGCTCTTTAGAAAGCATTTATGAACTACAAGAATAATATAATACATAGGTTAGGAACTGGTTTTCCTGATTTAGGCTACCTTGGAAGAACTTATTTCCTGGGTAAGAAAGTTCCATGTAAATTTATCACTATTCTTCTGAATATATCTGGTCTATAATTTATCCTCAAATTTTTTTCAGAACTGCCCATTTTCTGAAGTTTAAAGCCCTACTACATTGACTTACATGATTTTACAGAAAGGCAATTAAGGCCTTCAGGCTTTACTTATTTAAAGCTGGTACCTCAGAAATGTCCTTATAAAGTAACTTAAAGGGAAAGAAGAAAAATTTAAAGAGAAAAACAGAATAGAAATATTTGAATAAATTCACTGAAGTGAGAAGAGATTAGGAGTGTATCCTTAAGTAGAGGAAATATCAATATATAAACTAGGTAAAATGAAAGCAGGATCCTGATTCTCCCTAGAATTGGGTTATTATTTGAGAAAGAGAAATCTGTAAATGTTATTTTGCACACACACACTCTGTAGCATTAAAAAATTCAAATCAAGATCAAAACCAGAAGAGTGAGGCTGTTTCGGGCAACTATAGCATATCAGTAACATGAATACTGTGCACTGAGATCAGGTACATACCAGTTCAGGATGGTTTGGAAGGCCACATTTTTTGCATGGTTCATCATCATCTGCTAGGATGGCTTCTTCACTTTCTTTTTCTTCTTCCTCTTCTGAAGCTGCAGACGATTTTTCACTGTCAGACCCTTCACTTTCGTCATTGCTGGAATATTTCCACCTGCCACGTGTTCGAGAACCAGTCCATCGAACTTTGCCTTTGGGTTTTACCTTGGATAAAATAAAAAATTAGGAAAATTTGGTATAATAAGAATGTTAAAAAAACCCAAACACTTCTGATTACATATCCACTGTAAAATATTTAGTCAATACACAAAGAAGAAAAGAAAAATCACTGTAGTTTCATCCATAGATATACCCGCTATTAAAATCTGCTCTATATAGTCACTATTTTTCCTATTTGGGGGAAGAGAAATTATAATGAACACTTTGTCTTATAAATATTTTCCCTAGTCATAAAATATTCTCCTAACATCACCGTAAATGACTATATAATACGCCATCACATAGATGTATTTATAGTATCTCTTACTAAACGGACATTTAGGTAGTTTCCCATTTTTTCACTTTCATAAACAATGTAACCTTGTAAATATAAATTTTTACACACACTTCTGTGGTTAGGATAAATTCCTCGAAGAGGATTCTGGGTCAAAGGCCATGGACATTTTATAGGCTCTAGAAGAGAACAGTGACTATATTCTCACATATTGCTATACAAAATTTTAAATTCCCATATTAGAGATGAATTTTCATGTTTTTAATGAGTCAGAATTCATATAAAAATCCTGACAAATTTAAAAATATACAGTATTCAGAGAATAAGTTTATAATGTTGTAAACTGCTGTTCATTGCCTAGATTCACAATCTTGTAAGTCACATTTTAGTTCCTTTCTGCAGTATAAGTCCCCATGAAAGATCAAAAATAACAGAAGGGGAAATTTTTTTTTTGGTCCTGAGCTAACATCTGTTGCCAGTCTTTTTTTTTTTTCCCTTCTTCTTCTCCTCAGTCTCCCAGTACAGAGTTGTATATTTTAGTTGTAGGTCCTTCTAGTTCTGGTACATGGAATGCCGCTCAGGATGGAAGGCTTGATGAGCAGTGCTAGGTCCGGGCCCAGGATCCGAACCCAAAGTCCCGGGCCTCCGAAGCAGTGTGTGTGAACTTAACCACGTGGCCATGGGGCTGGCCCCAGCGGAAATTTTTTTAAGTAAAGAATTAAAAATTCAGTATTTCAGGGAACAAAGGAGCACTTACAATGAAGAACAACTGGATCACTTAAATAAATTAAAAACAAAAGCAGTGCTTTTAATTATAACAAACTCCCATGGACTAGCCCAAGACACATACAAGATTTTGTTTAAAATAAGAGTCGTAGAAAAAAGATTTCTGGCTTCTAAGACTAATGATTAAAATGGGGGAAAATAGGTATTCTCCTACATTGGTAATGAGAGGGTACATCAAAAGGGCCTTTAATGGAGGGCAATGCGGCAAAAGCGATCAAAACTTAAAATACACATGCCCCTTGACCCAGCAATTCCAATTCTAGGAGTCTTTTCTAAAGAAATACTCACTCATATCCAAAAGGCTCTTCAATGCAGCATTGCCTGTAATAGTGAAAAATTGGAAACAACCTAAATGTCAATCAATAAGGGACTGGTTAAATAAACTGAGGTACATCCACACTCTGGAACGCTATGTGGCCATTAATAACCAAAAGGTAGGCTCCATGTACTGACATGGAGAGAGTTCAAAGACACACTGTTAAGTGAAAAACTCAGAGAAAAATGAACACATTTGATTCAATTTATTTTTTAAGAGAATGTGTAAATATTTATGAACATACATATGAACATATGGAAGAAGGATTGGAAAGAGATGTACCTCAAACTGCTAATAGTTTTCATAGGGAATTTTCATTTTTCAACCCTACAGGTTGGGTATTACTTGAATAGTTTACAAAGAGAATATAGTCCTATACTGCCTGTAATGGAGAAAAAGTTTAAAAGATGACAAGATTATAGAGTGTGAAATTTAATGTTTGGGAATAACTACTGAGAAAAGTCATCTCAGATACAGGAAGAAAGGTATCTTTTTTTTAACTGTTGTTAGTTTTAGTCAAAAGCAAAAAGGTATAAACACTCAGAGCCAAATATTTCTAATAAAAATTAAAACTCAGTAGGAGAAATTTTACCTTGCTTACTTTAGAATTTGTATCCTTCTCTGTTTTTTTCAAATTTTCTTTTTTGTCTGTTTTTTGCAAAGCTGTTGACTCTTCTTCTACTTCATCTTCTCCTTCCCCTCTTTTTTTATCAGCCTTCTGATCTCGGATCTCAGCCACTTTCGCTGTGGGTCTAGATATTCTTGGAGACCTCCTTAAAGTACGACCCACATTTGTTTTCTCTTCTTCCTTTTCTTTCTTCTCTTGCTTGGTTTCTTGTTCTAGAATTTTGGGAGGAGAATCTGGCTTCTTCTTCCGACTGGATATCCTAATCGTTAATTTGATGCCCTCTTTCTGCCTTTCAGAGGTTATCTCTGTGTTTTCTGAGGCAGTGGTTTCTTCATCAGGAATCAACTTATATTTAAATTTGCTTTTTTGCATAGAACCCTTTGTCTCAGAAGGATCCTCTGAGCCAGAGGTCTGGGGATTGTCCAGATTATCTATTTCTACCTTCGTGGATTCAGAATCCTCTTTCAGAATTTCTGGGTCCGTTTTTCCCAGGGACTGACCTTCAGTGGAACTTGTGCTCTGACACTCTACCACTTCTTTTTCTGAGGCCAGTTTCTCACAGTGACCAGTCATGTTAGGTGGTGGAGATATTGCAGCTGCCTCGGGAGAGCCTGGTTTTACTGATTCTACAGTATCCTTTGGAACCTCTTCTGGTATTGGACTCAATCTTTGTGTGTCCTTATCAAGAAAAGTCTTTTTGGACTTCTCTAACTTTTCAAGACATTCTAGGACTGGTGGGCGCCTATCCTTCTTACTTTTGGGAGACCTCTCTTCAACTTTCATGGTACAGGATTCAGTGGTAGATAAAGCAGTTTTCAAAGAGAGATCCTTTGCCATCTCAGAAGTCTCCAGAGAGGTTTCTATTTCTGGAGGACCAGTTTCCTCTATCTGCCCTTTTTGACTCTGGGTCTCTACGACTGATATTGAACTATCTGCATCTTTCCCTAAAGGGACCACTTCTTTCTCAAGATCACCTATTTTCATACTTGTTATGACAGAATTTAAGGACTCTGCTCCATTTCCCTCCATGATGACATTTCTGTCCTTAGAGGGGCTACAGCTATCTTCCTTTGTATCATAAAACTTTGTCTCCATTTGTTCTGTCTTAAAATTTGGAGTTACCTTTTCATCACTAACTTCTCCATTTACCAGTTGTTTCCCTTCATGACCCAAAGTAGTGATTGTAGAGATTCTTTTACAAGTCTCTTCCTCTTGTTTTATTTCATCTTTCAAAAACTCTTTTGTTGGGGTAACTGATTTACACAAAGGTCCTTTGATCGGACTGTCAAAATCATCAGTCAGTTTAATTTCTCGTTTTTTTAGCGGTATCTTGGCCTGCTGGTCATTTTTAAGTTTCTCAGTCTCTTCAGTAGACTTCTCAGTAATTTCTTGAGAAGATTTAACGTTGCCACCAAACTCTAGCCTTTCAGGCTCTAGCTTCTCCATGCTACTTCTGGTATCTTTCGGATCTGCTCTACTTTCCTTTACTTCCACTTTAACGGGTTTGACATTTTCCTTGAAGGAATCACTTTCTTCTTTGATAATCTTTTTTTCCTCACTTTCTGGCAAAGGTTTTTCTAGCTTCACTATGACTGGCAATTTCACAAGTTCCTTTTCATCTTCTTTTTCTATTTTCACAGTAGTCTCTTCTAGAGCATTGGGTGTAGAATGGTTTTCTGAATCTATTGGCTGCTCTCCACTTTTCATCTTTTCATTTTCCTTTGGTTCCTCTAAAAATCAGAAAAAGTTTACATAATCTAAGTATTCAAGATTATAAAATATACAAAGCTTCATATAACATATACTTCCACTTGAAATTTCAGTCTTAAAAGAGATGGCTTTTGTTATTGGACATTTGACAACAAAAAGTAAAATCTGACAGTGAGGAACTTACCAAACTCTGAAGCACAACTTCTAGATATTAAAACACTATTATTTAGAAAGATTCAGGTTTCTGCTTTATTTTTTTAGCTTCAGTGTTCTCAATGGAATACAAATATTTTTACAGCTCAAACAATTTATTCAAGCTCAAGTGATGGGTCAAAAATACAAAACTGAAAATACTACATAAAACATTTCCAGAAGACCATATTTGTTTTAAAAACTGACAACTGTTCTTTGCAAATCAGTGAGCACTTCATTTTATTGAAGTAACATGAGCATGGCAGTGAGAAAATGCTTGTTTTCCATTTTATTCAGATTATAAAAGTAACACAATTCTGTATAGAAAATGAAAAATAGCAAAAAGAAAAAAATGCCCATAATTCTAATACCCAGAGGCAACTACTGTTAATATTTTAGGTTACTTCCTTCTAGTCTTGTATATTTCTATATACAAAGTTGGGATCATGTTGCCCCATTTTTTCATTGAAACATTAGCACTTTTTTATGATATTAAATGCCTTTTACAGAAACTAGACTTACTTATATAATATTCATCAATGTGGTTATATTACAATTTACTTTATCAAATGTCATCACTGAACATTTCAGAAGTTAATATTTTATCAACGAACTATTTAGGTTTATCTGTCAATTCCTCTTTTTTATCTTATTGGCTATATATTTCCAACTTTTATAGAGTACCAAATAGCGCAAATTTAAATATAACAAAAGCTGTACTTAGTAACCGGCATAATATCTGGGATTACAAAGATTACATATGTGCTGTCAACTCCGCTCAGGGAATCTGGACACAGTGTTTTTAGAATTCCTTAAGCACTACTAATTTTACCTACATTTTCCATCACCTCACCTTCTCCTTGCAACTGAAAAGCCTCAATTCTAAACAAACTTTTACTAAGATAGGAATTTTTACAAAAAATTTTGAACAGATTCTTGCCAAGCTGATAAACCAGAGTTATAGTGTATTTCATGGGAATAAAATGGAATGGACAGAGGTGAGATGAAGTAGGACCTTTTTTTTGTAGGGAAGGCTTCACCCTGAGCTAACATCTGTTGCCAATCTTCCTCTTTTTTTTCCTCCCCAAAGCCCCAGCATGGTTCCATATGTCCTAGTTGTAAGTCCTTCTATTCTTCTATGTGAGCCACCACCACAGCACGGCCAGTGAAAGACAGGTGATGTGGTTCTCTGACCGGGAAATGAACCCGGGCTGCTGAAGTGGTGACAGCACTGAACTTTAACTACTAAACCATCAGGGCTGGCTCAGGACATCTTTTTTAAAGTAAGAAATATTTCTTTCAAAGAGTGAATATTTTTATTACAAACCACCATTTCTTTTATGTCAATCATGTAGGAAATAACCAAATTCAAGAACCTCTGAGAACCATTCAGAACCTAAGATCAGAGTATCAGTATTGCTCCTCCCTCTTTACATTGTCAGTGATTTAATGTACACACGCCGCTAAGAAATTTACAGACATGACAATAATGATCTAATTTGTATATCTTCCCTTTCCCACTGATAAAATAGGTTTAGTAATTTCTCGTTCATTGAGATTGGTTAGCACATCAGGAGATCTAATTAAATGAACATCTTTGTTAACATTTAAAATATAGATTACCATCTTTAAAAATAACTTCAACCTAATACTAAATATGTTTACTGAACACAGTTTAATATTTTTATCTATATATTTTGGTTCAGAAAACAACTCAGGATCTCATTGTGACTCTGACTCAAGGTAAAATGACACTGTTTTTATTTGGGGGTGGTGAATGAGAAAGTTCTTTTCAGTTATTTGAACTGATTTCAATTTGAGTAACAACATGGCAAAACAAAATGAGGGATAACATTAGGTTCAAGACTCCTAAGTTCACTAAACCTAATTCTGCTAGTGGTGGGTCTTTAGTATGTCAAAAACTCTCTGATCTTCATTTCTTCATCTACAAATAAAGCAGCTGGACTAAGTGACTCCAACAATTATTCTTTGCTGGCTTATATTTCTCTTCACCCAAATATGTTAAATCCTTGGTATTTTTGTGTTTGGCCCAGTTCTTTTAAGAGAAAAATACAACAATACCTTTTACTCTAACTCCTCTAGATTACAGGGATATGTCCCTAAAATTGTATAGAGAATAGAAGAACCACGACAGAAAATGAAACTTTAAGTGCAATCATCATTGGTAAAAAGGTCATTCAGCTATACAAACATTTCCCAAAAGTTTTGCAAAAAGGAAACTGTAAAAGAGGATGCAAACGAGTTTAAGAGATACGAAATTTGGAGAAAACTCAAGGAAAAATTCACTTCAAAAATCACAATGCAGCAGCAACACTGCTTGACAAACTTGAGGTTATTTAAGAGAAGTGTTATCTACTGTTGATTTTTAAAGCTGATTCATTCATTTACTCAATAAATATTTACCTATCACCTATTATGTGCTTTCCCAAACATCCCAACCAGAACCACCATGTAATGAACGTTCTAAGTTAACAGTGAAAGACATTGCCAGCTGCCTATCCAGTTCTAGCTCCTCTTCTTTCTTACTAACAGAACTCTGATTTTGTTCAGGAAAGTACTTGTCTCTTCAGACACCTTCTAGCTAGGGGTCATGTGACCCAGTTCTGGCCAATGAGATACATGAGGAAGTCTACTGGGTGAGACTTACAGGGTTCAGCTGACCTACGCCTTTTGCTCATTCTCCTTCTTTTTATCTAGAGTCTGCATACAACACCTGGAGAGGGAGCAATCAAAGCCACATGCTAAGGATGGCAGACTAGCAAGGGTTCTGGATGGCTTCATGGAGCTGCTGAACCAGAAATGGACTACTTACCTCTTGACTTTTTATTACAAGAAAAAAATTAAAACTGTTTGAACAAACATGCAGCCAAATGCAATCCTGTCCAATACATTTTCATTTCACTTTGCTTCCTACTACTTTTCCTTTCCCATACTCACCAAAATTTACCCATATCCACTTAATAAATTTTGGGCTTGTCATCATCTCTTGGGTGATAAAGGGGTAACTAATCCTTGATGAGGTTTAATTTCTTTATAATCCTCCTCTTCTAAGATAAGACTTGAGAAATTTAAAAACAGCGTAGTGTGTTTCAGACTCTGCTCAAATCTTATATACCTATGGTGAGAGTGGAAATTAGCAGAAACACTTTAAAGAGCAATTTGGCAATATCTACTCTAAAGCCTGAAGAAACATACTCTATAACTCAGCTATTCCACTTATAGAAAGTGTACTTACATACAACTATACAGAAATACGTACATGAATATATGCTGCAGCACTGCTAGAAAAGTGAAAACTTAGAAATAACCTAAATACCCCTCAAACAGGAGAATGGATAAATAACCACTATGTAGCAAATAAAAGAAACAAATTTACTTGAATCAATGTGGATAAATCTCAAAAACAGAATGATGAGTGAAAAAAGCAAGCTGCAAAAGGACAGCTAATATGATACCATTTGTAGAAGTTATAAAATGCATAAAATTATGCTATATGTTGATGTGGCTACACACATATGGAGCAAAATCATAAACATGTATAAGAATGCTTCACAGGATTGTGGCTGAGCTTAGAAAAGGAGGGAGGAGGAATGGGATGGAAAATAAAGGGAAGAGAAGTATTAACTGTTTCTATAACTTTTTAAAAATGAAAAGCAAATTTCAGCAATATTCAAATGTTTTATACTCTTTCCTGTTTATTTGAACTATTTCATTAAAAATTAGGAAAATCATGAGTCAGACAACCCTAAATGCTTTCATATCACTTCCACATTGGCCAGCTGTGAGACCTTGGGAAAATTATCTTAATCTTTCTAAGTTTCTTTAGACTCTAAACTCTCTAAAACTGACATACAAATACCTACCCTCAAGGAACTGCTGTGAGGACTTTTAAAATGCTGCTTGCGAAGCACTTTACACAGTAACTGGGAGCGATTATTGTTGTTGTTATTTATCATTTGGCCCCTTCTTATCACAAACTTTAGCCACATCAGAACATTCAGTGTTTCTCAAAGCTGCTATTCTTCTTTTTTTTTTTTTTTTAAGATTGGCACCTGAGCTAACAACTGCTGCCAATCTTTTTTTTTTTCTTTCTGCTATTCCTCCCCAAATCTTCCCAGTACATAGTTGTATATTTTAGTTGTGGATCCTTCCAGTTTGTGGGATGTGGGATGCCGCTTCAGTGTAGCCTAACAACTGGTGCCCTGTCCATGCCCAGGATCCGAACCAGCGAAACCCTGGGCTGCCAAAGCAGAGTGCACGGACTCAACCACGGGGCCAGCCCTGCTGCTATTATTTTCCCTCTGTCAACAATGCCTGGAAAGCATTTCTATACTTCTTCACCTCCCCATTCCTTACTTTTCCAACTTGTAAAACAAATAAAATATCAATAACTATCTCCAAGGGTTGTTAACGATTACAGAAGGGTTGAACGTGGTAAGCACTCAATGTTGGATATTATTATCATTATATTATTGGCAAAATCTTACATCCTTCAAGCCCAGTTAAAATGACACTCCATTTTATAGTTTTATCCGAGTGTTTCCCTACAACGAATTAACTACTCCATCTCCTGTGTTGGCACATTGCTTTATATAGGCTTTTATAACAGCACTTCTTACCCAGAATTGCAAATATTTATTACAAATCTATCTGTCTTACTAGTCTAATGAATTACTCCTTTGTGAAGAATCGCGGATTATTACCTGTAGTAAGACATTCAAACATCTCCTGATAGACTGAATACACTGAAATGGCAACAAACTCTAGCCTGTATGTTGATAAATTACATCAATACATTTTAAGATGT